CACCTTTGTGCCACTTATAGCCACATTTGGCGAAATACCACTAATAGCCACTTTTGAAAGATGTTGTGTGCCAGATATAGCAATTTCCGTTAGAAACTTTGACGGTGTTAATAACTCCGTCAACTTATTTGACGGTTGGCTGACGAGGCGCCAAATCATCAACCACATCAGCGACAGCTAAGCAAAAATTGACACGTCAGCTTAATAATTTATTTATTAAAAAAAAATCCCCCTCATTGTTAAATGAAAATAAATTTAACGAAAAACAAAATTTATTAAAAGAAAAAACATTTAACAAAAGAACTTCACCACTCTCTCTCTCCCGTTGAAATCCCTTTCTTCCTCTCTTCCAACAAATCTCTTTCTTCCTCTTTCAGATCTAAACGCTGGAAAACATAGAGATTCATTCGCCCCCAATTCCCAGCGATTCCTCCTCGCCTACGCGCGACCTCTCTCCGGCGCCTCCTCATCATCTCGTTTCCTCCGCTGCACCACCACCGAAACAGAGCTAACCATCGCAAAACGACGGTTCAAGCTTCAAGACGGGGCCTTCGAAACAGAGCTAGCCTCAATCCGCTTCTTCAATCCCTACTCCAAATCCCTCGTCAATCGTTATCGCCTCCCACCCCTTTTGCTGCGCCGTTCAGATCTGCAACGTCGACGCCTTCAAATCTGCTCAAAATCGACGCTGCCGGCAAACCCATAATCCCCAAATCCCTGTCGCCTTCACCTCTCTGTTAAGCTCGCAGGCGATAAAAATAGGATACTCGTCGCTGCTGCTACTCTGTTTCGCGATGGCGATTAAGAGGAGGCGGAGGAGCGGGGACAAGTTGTCGTTGCCGGAGAAGGCGACCGTTCCAGGTGGGATTGATTTTATTCTTGCCCCCCCCCCCCCCCCCCTCAGTTCCGACGATATGAACGGGGCAACCATAGACATCCCAATTCCATTCTCACCTCCGCCGGCTCCAGGAGAAACATCTCCCGCCACTTCCTCTATCCATCTCCGGCTGTAAATGAATCTGTCTCTGCCACCAAATTAAAATCCCCCATTGCTGCTTTCTCGATTTGATTCTTCAGGGATTTGGGGTTTTCTCTTTGCCCCAACACTCTGTAACAGTCGTCGCCGTCCTTCAACTCATGCTCGAGTATACTCCCAAAGTCGAGGCCAAAGCAGCAGGGGAGATGGTATGGGAGAAGGAGATAAAGAGAGACAGAGAGGGAAATTGCAGCAGTGACGGAGATGACGGCGGATTTGGTGACAGAATAGTCAAGATCTGGACGAGGAAGGCTTGACGGCGGCAGAAGATGCGGGGGAAGAGCTGGTTTTTGGCTATGGCATTCTGGGTTTCAGATTGGAAATGTATTGTGGTGAGGATTGAACTGCCTTCGTCGCTTCGTCTCCTTCGAATATGGGTGGGTGAATTCGACTGAGGGGAAAACGAAGGAGTAGATAGAAAGTAGAAAACGACGACGGTGAAAAAATTAGGGATTTTGTTTTTTTTTTAATTATTATCCACGTGTAAAACGCAGGCTTGACACGTAAGCCCTTTCGTTTGCCCAGTCACACTTAACGTTAACAGCGTTAAAGAATCGGACGGAAGTGGCTATTAGTGGTATTTCGCCAAATGTGACTATAAGTGGCACAAAGGTGAAAGTTTTGACTATGCAAGTGTATTTTGCCTTCTTTTTATTGTACATTTACCTAACATGACGTACGTACTTCATTTAACAGCATATTTGGTGAGATTCTCAAAGGTGACACGTAACAAAGGTGACACGTAACAAAGCTTGAAAAATTAAATGTACGATTTAGAAACTCTGTCACATCAAAGTTAAAGCTTATTCTTGTCTGCTTGCTTGCTTATTCCTTCTAATATTATGGTTCTTTTTTCCCCCTTTGCTTCACTTTGTTCCGATATTTATTTATATCCTATTCTGCATCTTTATTCCTTTACAATATTTCCCATGAATTTAGTTTATAGTTTCGTTCATGCATGCACACACACACTATAGAGACGAAAGAGATGGCAAACGCGTTATACTACTACTTTTTTTTCCATAAGAGTTATATAGGTTTATTTTTTATTATTATTCAGATACTATTAGATTAAAGAATTCAAACCGAGAACTTTTATGTTTAAAACTAATGGTATTACCACTAGATGAAATTCTTGTTCGTCGACTACCTCTCTCCAACTAGCGATTTCTTTCTCCAATGGGATAAGCACAATTTCTGCAATTCCTCTAAATCATGGCTTGCTCAAAAAAGGAAAAGAGCTCGAATCTATAATGGAATAGAATAAAATTGAAAGTAACTCGAAAGAAGTTTCCCTAGTAACCCCAAAATAACTTGAACAGGGAAAAAGAGCGTTTTTTGTAGCTTGCTATGGCCGGCCATTAACGTCGACTTTGTTTCCTTCTAACAAGATTCTTTGTTAGTAATGGAAATATGGAATACATAAAAGTAAAACAGATTATCAACTATTGAACCGCAACGGCGTATTCAGAATGTAGAACAACACTGGATCACATTTAAATAGAAAATTAGTTAACAAACTAGCACTAGGATAAAAGAGACGAAGACGAAGACGAGAAGCAAGTTTCGTTTGTTATACTAGCTCTAGACTCAGAGGGCTAGGTCGTGGCCCAGGCACCCCTAGATCCGCCAGTGATGAACCATCCATATACCTGAAAGCTAGTTAATGGTTCGATATATGATCTAACCCCACTCAACATTGTACCAGAAACAGATCGAACCAACAAATTCGGCGTAAATACATTGGTTTTGCATGACGTGCTCTCTTGTTCAATTTTTAAGACCTATCATTCTGATAAAAAAAATCTATATGAGTGGTCATCGATAAAAGTAGTGTTAGCCCGAAACACTGGCTCCGATGTGTCGATTGAGTATTCCTAGTAACCGAGATAGTCTAGAACACATGTGTGGAGGTTCCAATATGAACTTTTACACACACATGCTAGATTATTTACCATAATTTAGTGCAAGTCGTAGTCGATGTTATAGATTTACAGCATGAGATTACTTTTTAGCCATGCATGGATTATTATTATATTAAGGATGAGCCAAGGATGAATGACATGGTTATGGGTAAAATTAATAATTAGGTGTAGGGACATTATCATGATCAAAGCTTTGAAGTTTCTTTTTAGCCATGCATTCAAAGTAAGTTTGCTTTGTGTTCAAAACATGATCAATCGCAATAAGAGGTCCAATAGATGGGGAGAAATCGATTGTCTTGCCCTAATAATGGATGTCAATAAAAGTTGAAAAAAGGATTGGTGTCTCGCCACCACATTATCTTCCATGGTTAAGTAAATTGAAGTAATGATTCAGTCAAAAGGGGGAAAAATTAAAGAGAAGGTGTGGTGTCATATATACAAAAACCAAACGAAATGGAAAGGTAGATAATGTTGTTAATCGATCATCAAACTTTAGAGACATGAAAGAAAAATAATGCACCAAAATTTATGGTCACATTGGCCCCATGGAACATGGTTGTTGATGTGGTATATTGCATGGGTTAGAGAAAATGTCTGCTGATTAAGTATGAGAAATACAAATGATTAATCATAGTTAGGTGGGCAATTCATCCTAACAATTATTCAAGTAATTGGTTGTAACATGGTGTTATTGGTGTCCAAACAACCCGTGTTGTTACTGAATAGAGGTTGGTGCGCCCTTTAACCGCTCCGTTGTCTATAAAAATAATAGTGAATCATCAGCCAAAAACTTCCCACAATCCGATCATACTATGTTCTTGAGTTACTAAAATCAAGGGTTAACTAGAGGGTTTGAATACAATAATTGATCATTTAGGAATCGTAGACTGTGTAGGGATGATGACTTCTTGTCAGCTAAAGCTTAATGGTTATAAATAGCCCATGAATCTCTCACGTGGTCTGTCAATATGAAATTTTTTTAAGGTGTTACATTACACCCTCCATTTGACAGATCTCACATCGATAAAGTGTTGGAGAGATTCATAGTTCATAATGAACAACTCAACCTTAATTGTCAAGGCACGTTTTCAGGTGAAATGAATTAGTTTTTGTAGGAATTGGGAAGTTAAACATATATATAGTGGAGCGGTACATAGATGAGTGGCTTCTAGACACATCACCATGATGCACCCAAAAACAAAATCGTGCGAGGTCAAATCCAAAGTGGGCAATATCTTAGTGAGAAAAAAATTGAGATGTTACAAAATCTATTATGGAGGGTTTATAAATTTATTAGAACCAGGTCATATCTCATCCATGAAATATGAAAAGGATTTAAGAGAAAAGAAAATCCAGAGAAAAGGATTGTACATCAGTTCTTTCTTTCTATCTCCAAGCAACTTCGTGGAGCATCTCTTTTGGTTGTTTAGTGAAAGTACAAGATAAAGAAGCATCAGGTTGTCCAGCTTCATTTTCAGACAAAGGAGAAATTATAAGTACTGAAACCAAATTAAAACAACAGCCCACAAAAAAACTCAATCTAAATAAATAAAATCTGAACTAGCTAGCAGAAACAAAATTGAATATATATGATATATATAAGTAAATTTCCTATAAATTAATGAACAATTCTGTGATACTTTTCACTAGAGAAAAATAAAAAAATAATTAGCTACAAAACACAAGAAAAATGTAGTAATTAATTCACAAAGAGCTCCTTTCACCCTCCCTGCATTTTTTTTGCACAAACTATGTGACACTTTTTCCCCCACACCCCTTCTTTTTTTTTTTTAGTTCCTTTTGCTCCTCTCATCCAAAGAACATTGCAAAGAACTTACAAAGACTGAGAAGAGAGATCCATCTACATACATGTGTCTTGGAAATAAATAAATGAACAAAAAGAAGATGATAGTGTAATGATGGTGGTGCTGATTTTCATGCTGCAAGAAGTGATTTTTAACCTAGCTTTTCTCTTCTTGTGGTCTTTTGGTCAGTTGTAGTAGAGGAAGATGGTAAAACTAGGTGAAAGAGATAGAGAGAGATAGAGAGAGAGGGCAGCAGGCTTTCTTTTCTTCCCTCTTTTTCTTCCTTGGGTTCTCTTTTCTTTTCTTGGCTCTTTCCTTTCTTCTGTCCCTCTTTACCTTTCCCTTCTTTCCAGCATGGACAGTTAGTTCAGTTGAGAGCCATTTGAGACCTAAAGTATGACTGCCCCAATTCCCAAAGAGATCACAGAAAAAAAGACCCAACCAGAAACCCACAGAAAGAAACCAAACTCTAGAGAGAGGGCTCTTTCTCTTTGTTGGAAAGAACTAGAGAGGAAGCTAGAAATGGAGGCTTCAAGTACTAATGATGATGACAATGATGGTGTGTCTGTATATATTATATATGGTGCAGGTTTCTCTGTTCTTTTTTTTTTTTAGGGTTTTGATAATAAGAAAACTATTTCTGTTTTTTTTTTGTTTTTTTACCCATGATGATCTTGGTTGTCAGGGTCTGGCCAGAAAGAAGAGTAGGTCTTCATCCATTCTGCTGCTTCTTGAGGGTTGGCAATGGAGGATTCCTGCAACCAAATGAGGAACAAAACAGATATTGGCCATTAGGGTTTTTTTTCCCTCCCAAAGAGAAAGGTGGTAACAAACAAATAGAGGAAGCTTCTCTCATTGTGTCCTTTTATATTTGAATCTCATTGGCAATCAAGTTGTCTCATATATGCTGGTGTTTGTGTTGAGGAGGACAACGCATGATAAAAGCTTTCAAGCTGCTATCATTGATCAACCCACTTTCCATTCAAAATGTTACATTAGATTACATTATCTGTCTTAATGCATGAGACATTAATGTACATGGCTTTCCCTACACTCATTAGTTCGTATTCATTTAACCTTCTTACCGTAGGAAATATCGTTTTTATACAGTTGTCTCGACATATGGGAAGATGAGAGAGTTCGCGTATTACACGTCATGAAATCAAGATATTCGAGTTACAAAAACTACGACGGCACAACCATTCAACTAAGTTTATGTTGGCAAATTTCGACTTTTTTTTCTTTTGGGTGAGTTGGGAATATTTTAGCTCAATACCTAACTGAAATTTAACTCACTGTTATACCTCAAAAAATTATATGGCAATGCTAGGTATTATTCTTTCCAGTGAAGCATAGGAAAAGGGAGATGCTAACTCGCCTAGATTTCATGGTCTAGATTTCTTTTTCACGACCAACTTTTGTGCTTCAGATTATGCCTATAATATATAACCCTTCCAAAGCATGGATATGGGGGGAAAAAAGGAACAAAAGATAGATAAAGAGGAAAAAGAAGTAAAGGGTGTTGGGAGGCTGGGGGAAGGCTCGTGCATGGTTAATGCAGTGATCTTATATCTTAATCACTTAAAACTAATGCACTAATTTCAAAAAAATAAGAGCTCGAGTTATAATAATACTCTTAAAAAAGCTCTTTTTTGTAATTAATAAAGAATAGAGACAATAATGTTTTTAAGGAGGTTTTGGTAGGAGATCACTGAATTCAAATTTACAACCTCTCTAACGTTGAATTTTACACTACAACCAACTCGACTAAATTTTAACATAACATATAATTATTTGAATTTAAACCCGAATCACCTCGAATAGATTTGAGCCGGAATCTTTCTCGAGTGAGTCTAAAAACTCGTCCTATTTTGATCCTCAGCTAACTCAGATCAAATTTTAACCTCAAAAACCCTAAATTATAAATACCATAATTTTAAACCTAGACACTTCTAAATTTAACAAGCGTTTGTGAAACCGTAAATGTAGCAGTCAACCGAAACCTAAACCGCTAGACAATTTTCAGTGGTACAAACTGTCAACCCACAGTTAAACTACAGTTTCAGTGTAAAATATCTTACCGCTAAATTTTCCTATACAACCTCCGATACGATTTTACAATCCTTAGTTTTAACCCTCTAAAATCCTTTTTTCTTTTGTTTTGAAAAGATGCTTCCTTGCAATCCTTCCCAAGACCACCTTTTCGCTTTCTTCCCATTTCCCCAAACTCATTGCTGTCTTTTATATGATTTGAAGTTTGGGAAAATCATGACCAGAACAAAAAAAAAAAGAGACAATGTGGTGGTGGGGGAAAACTCAAAAAAGACACAAACATGGAATTCAGGGTCAAAAAGGTTTGGTTCAGACTTCAGATAATATAATGCTTACTCACTTCTTTAATATCAGAGGCCGCCGACGACGAAGTGCACCCCATTATGAGCTCTTCCAGGCCAGACGCCGACCTTCCTCCGACCATCTTATGATGCTGCTGCTGCCGCTCCTGCTCTTCCTGCTGCTGCTGCTGCTGTTTCCATTCAAAAGATACCCCACAAAAATGGGAACACAAACAAAGAGTATCAGTAGTCATTTCAATCATAATGTCTTTGAAAGTGAAATGAGTTTATGGTACTGAGAGTGAAGCACATGCATTGGTAAGAAACTCGGTGGAGTCCATTGGAGAGTTTGGTGATAATGAAACTCGATCGAGCGAGTCAGTTACTCGAACGTAACTCAGTCGAGGACAAAAGGAAAAGGGTGAAAAAAGAAAGGAAGAAGAAAAAGGAAAGGGGCAGACAGAGACAGAGACAGAGAAAGAGAAGACACATGGTATATGCCAATTTGGTTATACTAGTAGTATATGAGCCTACTTCTACGATAAGCAATCCCCCCCAAAAGTACTACTGGGGACTATAGGCGTATTTTAAACTATGTATATATATCATGTTATGGGGACCAAAGAGTAGCTAAAGAAAAAAAAAATGGAAGTTTCTTTGTCTAGGGAGAGAAAGAGGTGAGGTGTCTAGCTGGTACGAATGGCAATGGGGCAAGTTGAAACAGACATGTCGAGATTGCGCAGATCGATCGATCCATAAGAATATGTATTTTAGGGAGGGAAATACTTGAAACATTGATTTTGTTCATTAAAAATCGAGAAACATATTATGACATGATAAATGTAATTGAATTATTCGCGAAATTGAGATTCTCGCGTACTTATAACTTCATATACTGTGGCTAATATATAATGTAATAAAAAAATCTTAAATGAGTCCAGTAAAATTACATGTAATTTAGAGAGGGGAAAAAAACGAGTTGAGAATGGGAAGAGTCAAGACAAATAAGAATTGATGAGAATATATATACATGTTTGCTCCGCTCCTTATGGTATGATTATTTATCCTCCTAAAACACATCAATCAGATAGAGTAAGACGAGTCATGTCAAAATCGTCATCCATTTGGAGGGAAAAAAAACTACCTCTTGAACCATGGTGTATGTGTTTCATTATAAATCTCAAGTTATTGCTTCACCATTGGAGGCAAAAACTCTCTACCCATTAGCTTGTTTAGTTAGTGTTATATTTTCACTTACAAGAAATAAAGATTTAAGTTCGGACCTTAGAGTCAACAACGTTGCGACGACGAAGTTGTAACGTGAACACACATTTAAGAGAGTGTACGAACCTGGTGGATCTCGTTGTGGAGCATGAGGCGGGAGACATGGTAGGGATCCTGGTCGAGGATGATGGAGGTGTGGTGGATCGGCGGCGGCGAGATGATCGCCGATATCGGCGGCGACGGCCTGCTTATGTGGAACGCCGCCGCCGCCGAAGTTGCAGCTATGTTCTGATGATGGTGATGCCCTAGTGCGACTGCATGGCGCTGCTGCTGCTGCTGCTGATGTGGATGGTCGTGGGCCAGATGTTGATGCTGATGTGGCGCAGTCTGATGATGATGTGGATTTTGATGGTGATGATGGTGATCTCCGATCTCATCGCACGTGCCGGATGTTTGGGCCGGCCCGCCTTCCCTTGCCGTCGAAGCCTCTCCTCCTCCACCTGTTACTACCATCCCCACCTGAAAATTGATATCCCATTCCCACGCACGTTATATATTATTTCATATCATGCCTAATGTCAAACTATGCGAAATGAAATTGCACCATACAATTATGAAATTAGATAGGAGATTATGTCAAACAGATTAGCATAATGGTATATAATTAGCGGTACAATATCATATGATTTAATCAGGTAGTACATATAAAAATAGGGTATTATCGTTAAATAATACTAAAAAAGAAATAATATATTAGATGATATACCGGTATATATAGTACTGATCAAAATTGAGAAACCCACTGATAAATAGTTTTGATCGATAATGTTTGCATCGATCAATACACAAACATTTCTTATGTATGTGTATCGTACCAATTTAGTTTTGACATCAAACAATTTTATGGTCTGATCACCGGTACGATGCCACAAACCTATACTAAATATAGTTTGCTAGCTAGCTAGTCTATTTTCATCTCTCCCCAGCATTAACACTTACTATATGTACCCTTTTTCTTTGATGCTAATTGCTTTTAACTTGCCCCCCTCATCAGCTTTATGTCTTTGTTTGAATGTTTGGTTCCCATCTCACTTAACCACTAGACCTTTTTTTGACTGCTAAGGCTAACCACATTACATATAGCTTTAGCTTAAGTTAGCTGCCAAAGGATAATCAAGTGAGGTCCATGGCACTGCATTTTCATGCTGAACTTGCAAGCAATGGGAATATATGCCATCAACTAAAAGCAAAAAAAGAAAAAAAAATTCAAAGAAACCCCCTTTTCTAAATTCCCCTCTGAACCCTTTTATTTGCTTTAGTTAAACCCTTCCTCTTCCTCTACTCTACTATCTACTATTATCTCTCGACCCGTAACACTATACGACAAAAAGCAGTAAACTTGAATTTTTCAAGAACCAGTTAGTTTCGATAAGTCGTAGAGATAGATGAATGTACGTACCTCATCAAACCCACTTTTCCTGAAATGGGTGAACCCGAAATGATGATGTTGATCGTGAGACTTCATCTGCTGCGCGATCTCCATGGGAGTAGAGTAACTCGACATGACCGCCGCAACAGCTCCATGAAGCTGATCAAGACCACTCTCCCTCTGGCCGTGATGGATGATAACTTCCTTCGAAGAAGAACAACTCCCGCTCGTGCTTCCTTCTCCTCCACCACCACCACCACCACCACCAACCGTCATCAACCCCACATTAGTGCCACCAACACCACTCCGATCGACCCAGTTGCACTGTCTGGGCTGGGTCTGGTAAAATATCTTGGATACCACTAACTCGCCTTCTTTCTCCTCCTCGTGCTGCCCCAGATGGTACTGGTGCATGACCCAGTTGGTTTTTTCGGGTTTCCTGTTCTTGCCGAAGTTGGTGTAGAGAACCAAGATCTTCTTGCAACCCTTCTGCTTGCCGTTGACCATAACGGGTCGGGTTTTCCCCGTTTTGTGCCACCGGGTTTCGCCGCCTTGGAGGTCGCACTCGTTCTGTATCTTCCTGCGCTTTCTTGTCCCCGTGGTGTAAGCTTTCGATGGCCTGTGGAAGAAATGCCTGCTCAAACCGTCTCTTGTCACTCCTGTGAAAGAAGGGAAAGAAAATGCCAAGGCCAAAAAAAAAAAGAAGGAAAAATGGTCACAAAAATCAAAGTTAGGTTCACGTAGGTATAACAACTAAAATGTGACTGAGATGTCGATCGATCTCACGCAAGCAAAAGAACATGTAAATGACAAAAAAAAAAAAAAAAATTTAGTTTTATTAATAAGAGGGATGGAGTAAGGGTGGAAGCAATAACACAATCAATCAATATTGAGTAAGAAACAAATATTTTTTATACTCGTCGTGCGCAGACGACGAAGAACAAGGGATTTGTCTGGTGACGATGGTTGTTTAATTAATTTTACCGGGGAGTTTCTCTGGGTGGGTGTAACAGATGCCGTCCTCCCCCTCGATGGTGGGGATGAACTCGTCGATGAGAGGGTGAGATTTCATGTCGTGTTTCGCCTCGACCTTGGCCTCGAGGTGCTCGATCAGCTCCTGATCGGTCGGGTCGAATTTTACACCAGCTGGCAGGCCTAACCAATCCTGCTTCCCCCCGCGACCAATATCGAACCAACAAAAAAAAAAAAAGGATTAAGAAGAGGGTTGGATTGAAAGCCAAAAAAATAAAAAGAAATTAACCGGAGATGTGGAAATTAACCGGCTTGACGAGCTTGTGGCCGCAGCCGGGGCAGTGCTTGGATCCGGCGCAGAGCTGGTGCTCCTCGAGCTTGGCGTCGATGAGATCGGAGCTGCTGATGGCCGCTGAGGCCGAACCCATGTTGCTCCTGCTGCTGCCGCTGCTCATCGAGCTCTTCTCCATATAAAATGAAATGATAGTGCTATGACGATGATGATGACGATGGTGGTGGTGTTCTTTCCCTCAAGCTCTTGAAGTCTTGTATGAAACTATCGTTCACCCTCCCTCTCATATCCCTCTTTCTCTTCTCCCCGCTGAAACAACACCCCAAGAAACCGAAAGAGAGGGGAGAGGAAAACGGATGGAGAGCTTTATGAGTGAAAGAAGGGAAGGGAAGGGGAGAAGAGAGAAATGGATCCCTGGTTTTCTCCTCTAAAAGGGTTTTCCTTTCCTTTTCCTTTGCTTTGCTCCCAACTTTAACTGAAGAGGCGGCAGAGAGGATAGAGAGAGAGAGCTAGCTCTCCCCAGCTCCTTCCAAACAGAAAGGGGGAAAAAAAAGGTGGTGGTGTGCTCTGCCAGCCACCAGCCTAGGCCTTCCCTTCTTCTCTTCTGATCTATTACAAAAACTATGTCTCTCTCTCTCTCTAGAATTTACCTAGCGTGGAGGTAAGGTTAATTATGGAGAGGCGGTGTGTGAGAACGCAAAAGGAGGAGAGGAGAGGATAGATATTTCCAAAAGAACAAAAGAGGAGATTTAGGGGAATGATGTATTAGAAGGAAGAAAAAATAACTTGAAATACTGGTTTTGATGTTTAATTATTCTGTACAAAAGCAACCACACACCCCGTTAAAAGTAGGAGTGGCTATACGGTCCGGTCCGGTTAAATTGGCCCAAATTGATCTTGTTCGGTCTTTATCCAGCTTTCGATCCGGTCCCGAACGGTTTTTCACCTTAAATCTAAGCCAAAAATTGGATTGAATTGGATTGTTTACTATCCGGTCCCGGCCCAGTCTCGGTCCGAGTTATACGGTCCAAGTTCGAGTAAAACCAAATAGCCAGCCCTATCTTAAAACTTTTTTTTTCCTATTGATTATTTAGTGTATTTTTAGGATATTAGTGGCTAACTGTTTATCGAAGATTGTTATATGTACAAAGAGACAGATGGAGGTAGCAAATTGAGTTATATTCTCACGAGTATAGACTAATATCTTTGTATGAAGATAAAAAAGAATGAGACAACCAACCACCATATTACCAACCCAATTAGGCTCAGCTTTTTTTGGTTCAAGTTGATTTCATAATATTCTTTTCAATTTTTGGAATCTAACTTCAGATGGATGGACATCCCATTTAATCCTAGAATTATACCTACTTTATAATTAATAAACTGGTATTCTTAATACCTATTATCTTTCTTTCAATAAAAATTCAAAAACTTGTGAGGTCACTAGAGCCATTTCACACGCTTACATACTATAATAATTAATAACTTCATAAGGAGAAGGGGGGAAAAAGATAATATCTTTTCCTTGCAGCGAATAATAATTTTGGAGCCGCTTTAACATCTGAAATTTCCATTTGATTCGTTAACTCCTTTTCTGTACAACCTGTTTAAAAATATTCGTTTTACGACATTTTTCATCGACTTGTACTATTTACACGCATTATCGATTTCTACAATCGATCTCCAATCCAACCGAACCGTGTATAATTCCTTTGGTTCAGTCATTCTTCTCTTATTAATCGTTTTCTACTTTTAATTTTGTTTAAAGATTAAAAAAAAAAAGAATACAAAAGGTTGGTCTTGCGGGAGGTTGCTTGACTAGTAAAGCAAAAGGAAAAGAAACGGCCACCTCTCTCTCTCTCTTGCTAGCTGCCTGTTTCTTGCTATACCAATTCCATACCCAACACATTTTCCAAACCCCCCACTCTTCTGTCTATTCTTCTTATTAAACTTATACTAATAAGTACCATACAATAATATGGTATAAGTAATTTTCATTACTTGTTGCATATTAAAGTGGGTAAAAGTGAAAAAGTAACTAGTTCATAATTTGTTTGTGTATTGAGTAGCATATACGTGATCAGGGTAAAAAAATAATAATTAAATAAATTCATTTTCAAAATAATTAAATAAATTCATTTTCTGTAAATGAACAATGGTTAAAAGGTAAAAAAAAAATGGAGAGAAAAGAGATCATTTTCCTTTTGGAGAGACTAGAGAGAGAGAGAGAGAGAGTCACATGGGGATTGATGTGGGAGTGGTGATCATCATTCTTTCAGAGCCATGAATGTTCCTCTGATCTAGAGAGAGAGAGAGAGAGAGAGAGAGAGTGGAAATAAAAACAAGAAAGAATTAGCAAAGGGGAGGGGGGAGAGGGGAGATTGCTTGATATGCAAGGCAATTGAGCAGTGTGTACTTGATGGACCAGACCACCACCATCCTTTCTTTATTTATGTATTAACTATTAACTCATCCATGGATGTACTGCATAATTAGCACACTGACAATTACAAACAAACAAAAATACAATTGACTACACACTAGGTACTAAACTACTTAAAAAAACTAAACCAAAACCCCCCCACTAATTAACCATCAATACAAGCAAGCAATGTTAATCCAACACCATAGCCAATTTAATTAGCCATCCATCTGGACTGAGTCATATCTTTAATTAGAAATATCATTTCATGAATTGGTGCTTAGTTTTTACTCACCAGAAAAAGAGTTCATTCAGAAGTAATGTACTTGCTCTAATGATAAAAGTAAAATAGTGTGTAGTCTACATTGTAGAATGTGGTGACCGAAGAAATTAATTCTTTGTTTCGATGAGAGAAAGGAAAATGAAGGGGTGAGATGAATTTTGAGGGAGTTCATTCAGAAGTAATGTACTTGCTCTAATGATAAAACAGAGGCAATAGTTCTTTGGGAGAATCCAACCTCGCGTGATCGCAGCTAGTTGCGGTTGAGACGATTTTCCTCCTTAAAGGCCAACCAAGTGAAGGTCGTGACTCGTGAGTCTTACTGGAGAGTTTGGGCTAAATATGGTAATGCGAAATGATAATATTCATTCTATTCCAATGGATTCGAACTACAAACTTCATTTAAAAGAGTCCAATACCTTAAACATTTCAACTACTTATTCCTTCCCTACTAATTATGGCCATTTTCTTTAGGTGGATATCCTTTTCGGCTCTATATTTCATAAATGTGTACTGTGTGTTATTTCCATTCAAAAGGGAAATAGAATGTGAGTATCTAGTGTAAATCTTTTAGATTTGTAGTTTGTTAAGAATGCTAAAAAAAATTAGGGATGAAGAGGTGAGAATTTGATTATGATGGTGTTTTAATTTGCATTCACGTTTATAACATTCCTTTTGGGGGTCAAGGGTTTGTAGAGAGAGATATCTATGATGAAGGGACCAGACTTGTGTTTGGACTTTGGACAAACCAAATAGCTAGCAGCTAAGCCAAGATTCCATTTGCTCCTTTATTTTATTTCTTCTTCTTCTTCTTTTTAGTTCTCTCCTCGTTTTTCCTTCTTAAAAATAAACCTTGTATTATATATGTAATTGGGTTTGGAAAACACTCAGCAAGAGCTTTAGCTAATTTGGTGGAATTTGGGTTGTGATTTTTCTGGACTAGTAGATGTGGCCTTGGAAGGGGGCAAAGCTACACATTTGACCATTTTAAAGAAACTCTCAAACAATAAAGTTGATGTGAAATTTTCATATCGAAGATAAGAGAAAATTTGGAATTTTATCTTGAGAGGAATAAATAGGTAACTTATAAAAGCGATAATAGGTAAGATTTCACTTCTTTGCATGTTTCTTAGTTTATATGAACAATAAAATGAAATTTAATTAGCTTTTCGATTCGAATTTCACATTCACGTGCAAGCTCTCAATCAAGTGCTACTAGAACACTCTATTATGCCTCTTCGTCCACCATAAATGAACTACAAAGCTTCGGTATCTATTTATGTACTTGTAATTTTCTTTATTTTATTATATAGTACCGAAAGTAGCTCGTAATTTATGAGTTTCGTATCGTTATTATTTTTTGAAGTGTTTTGTATCATTGCTTAATACGACCGCATAATCATACATTAACATATATTGACTATTGAGTGTTAGAAAACTTATAACTTTGCATCCGATGAATATAACTCATCTATCGACTATCATTGTCAATGTGTACATGTATATATTGTTTAGCTAGCTACAAAGGCATCTTGAAGTTATTCTTGTTTACTAAAACGTAGTTGAGTCCTGGTTAGATCAAACCTCATTTTTCTGGAATATTAAAAACATAAACTTTCAATAATCAGTGATTTTTATAAATACCGATTGACCTTATGAGTACGCCTCCCAATTTTCAACCTAACCATCTTTCTGTCCAATCGGCGAATATAGTTCATCATTATTCGTGGAGGAGGAGAGGCAGGTTGAACGTTGACCAACTCTATCAAGGAAATTGGATTCTAATTCATGTTAATAAGTTTGCACACATTCCTTGTCAATAGACAAATGTTATTGTCAAGGATCATCGAAGATTCGAATACGAGACCTATCGATAAAGTTTGAAGGATTTGAACTCTAGTATAGTCAATCACCAAAAGGGTCGAAACCTTGTCAATAATTATTGTATTTTCCAAATTCATTACAAGCTCCATGTTATTTTTCTAAATATAACATGGAAATTAGCCTCGCTCTTAACAATGGCAAAGCCAGCTTGTTAGAAGGTGGGTCTCGAGATCTATCTTAGCTCTGGATTAAGATATCGATAATAACAATCTTTGTAAGCGATCCATAATACTCTACTTCATACCACATGTTCACTAGTTTAACCTGTCTACCAACAGAGTGCAGAGAACTTTGCGACACGCATCATCCTTGCATATTATATAAATAACTCTAAATTTTACATGAAATGTTTCTTTAATTGTTTGTTCTAAGTTTACTAATTCATACTTTAAAGTCGAATAATCCATCCTCAAACGAAAATATGTCGACAAACTATGGGCATGTTTGCAAGTTAGGATTCTCTAAATTGATGTATTTAATCAATGTATGTATTATAATTAGATGCATTGTTTCAATGCATGAATTTGAAAAATACATTGTTTGGAGATTGAATGATTTTGGTGGTCCCTCAAAGAATAAGGAACAAAAAGTAAGACAACAATCCCTCAAACACAATCTCTTCTAAAAGTTGAGATTGACAATCATTCATAATGGATGATTCTGGTGGGCTCATCTGCTGTTCAAATACA